AAGGGAAGGGAAGGGAAGGGAAGGGAAGGGAAGGGAAGGGAAGGGAAGGGAAGGGAAGGGAGAAATAATCCCCTATCCTTTGCAATTTTTATGTGTGTTTGTTGCAGTTAAACAAATGAGCAGCATTTTTCTGCAGAATTTCCTCTCTAGACCTGGATGACTGTGACAGATAGTCAGCAGCCAGCCTCAATTATAAATAACTTTTGGACATTTAACATGATCCTGCCTGGAGAAGAGAAAGCTGTGAGGCAGAGAGCCCTGATGCTCTCCATGGGGATCTTCTTCCCTGTGTAAGGGATAGAGCTACGAGCTAGACAGAGCTCACAGCTGCCCAGCTGCTCAGCAGCAAGTCGGTGTGAAGAGTCAACCAGCCACACTAATATGTCCCTCGATCGCAGCCAATGTCACACCAGGCCAGTGGAAGGAGCCAGGAGAAAACTTTCCTTCTGTAAAAGTGAGTGGCAAGCTGCTGAATCACTCTGGCAGGCAGGAGTCAGCATGTCTAGGGGAAGTGAAAGTCAATGTCTCCTGGAGGGAATATTAATAATAAAAACCAAAGCAAGGACATTCAGAACTCGAAAAGATCTTTACATTTAGTAAAAAAAACATTCCAAGAGTGACTCCATGCACAAATTAATATTTCAGGAACCGTAAACCAATATTCATTTTATATTTATGATACAAAATTATTCATCTACTAGAGTTTCAAAGTATTTTACAGCTGCACGCTAATAAAGCATCTCATTTGCTATGAAATGCAGCCATCTTGTCACTGGAGCACAGCAGCTGACAGGACTGTCTAGGGCACAGGAGAAAAAGCTGCCCTCGAGGGAATTTGAGAGAGCTCAGCATTGCTGATCTTCCTTTTAAAGTCCAGGATGGGCCAAAGTATTTACAGGAGCTGGGCTTAGGGAGACAAGACAAGTGGAAAAAATAACACGGTTGAATAGAGAAGTTTTAGACAAGTCCTTGTTGAAATTTGACTGGTCCAGTGCAGATATATAAACACATAATAAATCATGCAAAGCAGATTTTATAGTCCTTCCTCTCATTCATGTCATAGCAGAAACTAGCAACTGTCAGGAGCAAACCACCTGGGATCCTCTCCTTGCTGGGTCTCATCCCTTCCCCAAAAGTGGAGAGGGAGACTCCATTTCTCCTTCTTTCCATGCCTGGCAGCCTTTCCCCAGCAGAGGAAAAGAGAGGTAAAGTTAACCCTTTTGTTTACTGGGGACTGTCATTTTTCACTAGTCCATAGGTATATCCACCCATTCCATAGAATGGAATTGATATGAACAATCAATTCAAACAGTAAACACTGGTAATACTCTTCAGAATAAAAGTGCAGAATGCAACACCTCTGCCACCAAACTAAATAATCCTGTATGCATAAATATTCTTGAAATACAGAATTTGTATCAGAGGCAGCAGAAGCTGTGATATGCGATGTGCTTTGTTGCAGTCTGATGTAGATTAAAAGTCAAATAATGCACCCTCAGAGATATACGGGCCCAAATCCAATTTTCCTCTCCAATAGAAGTACAATAAATAAAATAGGCGTCCAAAACCGTCCACATAACTCCAAGCAATGCCATGCACTTGGTTTTTTATGTGTTTAGGAATATATATGTGCACAGGGATGTATACACACACAAATATGAATTTGTTTATTCAGGGATGGAGTTTGCTTTTGGTCTCTCTATGAAGATCGAGTGTTTCTAAAGTAACCATTAGAAATCAAGTGAGAAGGGAAAGGGGGGAAAAACCCTTTAATTTTCATTTGGAAAAAGTTCTTCCTTATTGATAGGGTTTCTGTTTGCTAGAAAACTTCCTAGGAAAAAAAAATTGGAAGAAAACGTTAGCTGCAGCTTACTAATGCAAATGCAAGCGTAATTTGGTGGAAACATTTAAATTAACAGATGTCAAGGACTGTTGATTCAGAGCATGATAACAGCCAACTTGGGCCACTTGAGGGTTTTCAGCCAAGGTATTTTACACAAGTCTTTCCAGCTGTGTATAGTACCTCAGACAGCATTTCCATCTTGAGCAAGTCCTCAGAGGTCCCTAGGACAGCAGCTCAGGCACCAAGTGTTAGCATTGTTTCACAAGGCAGGGAAAGCAGACTCTTGTTTGGTCACTGCAATATAAGAAAGATGCTAAGCCATTAGAGAGTGTCCAAAGAAGGGCAGCAAAGATGGTGAAGGGCCTTGAGGAGCAGCCATAGGAGGAGAGGGGAGGGTACTCGGTGTGTTCAGTCCTGAGAAGAGGAGACTGAAGGGAAACCTCATTGCAGTTACAGCTCCCTTGTGAGGGGAGAAAGAAGGGAAGACATTGATCTCTTCTCTGTGGTGACCAGTGACAGGACATGAGGGAATGGTCTAAAGTTGTGTCAGAGGAGCTTTAGGTTGGATATTAGGAAAAGGTTCCTAAAGCTTCCACCCCAAAGGGTGCTTGGAACAGGCTCCCCAGGGAAGTGGTCACAGTATCAACCTGACAGGGTTCCAGAGGCATTTGGACAACACTCTCAGGCACATGTTGTGATTCTTGTGGTGTCCTGTGCTGGGCCAGGAGTTAAACTTGATGATCTTTGGGGATCCCTTCCAACAGGATTTTCTGTGACTCTGTCTTGCCTCGAGAAAACCTCTCAGTTGGACCCTGTAAATGCTGGGGTCAGCAGCCTGCTCTTCCAAAACCCTCCTCCTCCAGTCGAAGCATTGCCATGGGCTTGCTGCCCCTCTCAAACCTGAAACTGCTCCCAATTTTATGGTATTCCTTCTATCTTTAAACACATATTCAACACACACTTTTGAAAACCTGTGTTTTTGAAAACCCTACAGCTCTGTGTACAGTGGAGTATCAACCATGCAAGTGCTGTGTAAATGCTTGTTGAGTACAGTGGAGTATTTGGTGTAAAAATATTTGAGTCCAAAGGTGAGTTAGAAATACAGCAGATGAGCAATCCAGGGGAAGAGGCTAATTCAGCAGAGTTTATTTTTTCAGAGGGACTGGGCAAGCAGTAGAGGGGGATGCTGCATCTGAGCTTCCAGCAAGGTTATCTGTTTAGTAGTGCCTTATTGCCTCAGCAAATTTCCATTGGCTACTCAGGCCTCAAAACTCCACATAGTTTACAATGCACTCAGGAAAAATAGCAACTTTGGTCACAATTAACATGACCAGTAAAACTCATATGGATGGGAAAAAGCAATGACTGGTCTATCCCATGTTTTAGTCCCAGTTCTAAAACCTCTGCTAAATAACAGCAGGTTATTTAATTCACTGAGTGCTTTCCAGCTCAGTGCTCAGAAACTTGTAACCTCTGTGCCTCTATTTGTCATGACACACACATAGTCAGGTTTTTCTTTAAGGTGGGTCTTTCAATTCAAACAAGAAAATCTTTTAAAAGCAACCCACTGCCACTCTATTATAAAAATGTTCTCTGCTAGTGAATCTAAGCCAAGGACTCTGGGGACAGCGAGCACCTTAATGTTCTAGGAAAGTCATTTAACATCTGTCTCTTTCTATTTAAACCATGCTGATCACCCCACGGACCTAATTTTCCCAGACATAAAATAAGCCAACAGTATCTACTTACCTGTTTTGTGCATAGAGATGTCTGTAGCAGAGGACTTGAAGAGTGAAGTAATTAATGAGGAAGACCTTTTTGCCTGCCACAGACTCTGCCATCTGTGTGAGGACCTAGTGTGAAGATCAAGCTGAGCAGCTGAGATACCTGATAGAGTTATTTATACAGAAAACTGAGTCAGCTGCAGACAGAAGGCTGCTGTTGGAAGGCACCATGGGTCAGTGGGACCTCTGCTGTGCTGTGTGGGACAAAAAGGTGAGGTGGGTGAGATGAAGTGGTGGAAACAGACCCTCTCTCTGCAGCACTGAGGTTTGGGAGAAGACCTCATGCAGGGTAGGACATGCAATGGGGAGGCAGAAGTTTGTGTTGAGAGATGTCACTCTTCTCTTTCAGTACTATTAAAGCATAGATCAACATTAACATGTCTCCATGACAGACCCCCTGGTAAAACTGCAATGCAAGCACCATAATCCAACCCCTAAAGATCTATCTACCCATGGCTGCTCTCAGCTGATCCTCTTGCAGGACAGGGGAGTCTCTCTCCTGTCTCACAGGGTGAGGGCAGGGAGCAGATTAGTGCTGTTCCCCTGATAATCACAGAGACAGCTAAAGACTGTCTTCCAGCCACAACTCAGACAAAATCAAGAGGCCACACTTCACTGTCTAATTGCCTTTTTAATCCATGGTGCTTTACCATCAAGAAATACAGGAATACAACTCTAGAAAGGACAGCTCTAACATATCCAAACAGTACACCAATCCCTTTGTTTTACCCTCCCCTTGTTCAAGGTGTCAACCTCTATTTTAGAGCACAGAACCTTACTCACCCTCATCCTCCACTGGCTAGAGTTGCTCCTGAGCCTGGTCTGCATAGCCACCGACACAGGTGACAGCCCGCATCTCTGCTGGGATCAGTGAAATCTGCCCCCCAGGGACACGACAAGGCAGCTTGGCCAACTCATGCCCCTTCAGAGCCACCTAGTGCCATCCACCGAGCTTTTATAAACCCTTTGGAGGATGAAGAAGGCTCTGTAGGATGGGCTGGGATCACCAGTGGGTTTAGCACGGGACTGGTCACAGGAAGGGCCAGATGGCACCGCAGGGCTCATCACAAGCACATCCCTGCACAGGCTTTCTGGTTATCCAACAAATAATAACCATGTCCCTTTAGGATCTGCATAGTATGTGCCAGCCCAATTACAACACATGGAGTAGGAGGGGATGGTGCCATAAAACAGAAGCTAATAATGAAAATTAGCCCTGAGGGAGGCAGGGAGGGGGAGACAACTTCCTTTTCTTTCTTCTCCTTTCCCTATGTTTAGCTTCTTTCACTTTTTCTCCCTCAGCTTCTTTTATGTTTTTTGCAATCCCTGCAAAATGTATTCAGTGGTGCTTGTTCTTGATGGAAGCAGGCTTCTCCTTCTGCCAGGCAGGGGCAGAAATGCTTGAGGGCAGAAGCATTGCCCCTTTCAAGCTGGTCACCCATGAAGGCAGCTCCAGATGACCCACAAGCAGTGACACAGCCACATCTTGGAGCATAATGCTCTTGTAAGGCTGCTTATGGTAAGAGAAACTTAGCATTCGCTATGAATAATCACAGATTTTATTTATAGTGACAAAATGAGAGGGCCTTTTATGCAATATTGACTCAGGTTACCCAGGTCAATAGCAGCCAAGTCATAGTGACTCATACTGTGGAATTAAATATTTTAAACATAGCACAGTTATAGTCTGAGCCTGACTTGCCTTCAGTAACTGCCTTGATCTCATTTTCCTCCTTCCTCCCCCAAAATAGACTAGAGAATTCAAAGTATCCCATGCGATACACCACCTGATGATCAAAGACAGGGAAAGTAGTGCTCACGCTGTCTTTTGGAAGTTTTGCCTAGTGATCTGTAGCAAACAGGGGACACATGTAGGATGCAGCTGTGGTGCCAGGGCACAATTTTTGCAGGGTCATGTTGTTGCTGATTTTACAGTAAGGTTACTTGAGGACCCAGGTAGCTGAATGATTCATGCAAGGTCATTGAGAAAACCAAACAGAGGAGTGGGGGATGGAGTTTTAAAGCTCTGAGTGCAAGGCCCCACCAGGGACTTGCCTGCAAGTTTTACAATTCAGATGACTGATGGGAAAGTAATGTTTGCTGAAGCCTTTCGACCTCTCTTTACAAGGTAATAAAGGACTCGTGCACTTGGTCCAGGAGCAGGTCCTGCTGTCCCAGTATAGCTTTAACGATAAAGTGATAAAGAATCCCCCACTGGAGGTGCAAGTTGGTACCAGGGCTACCCTAAAGCAAAGGCTGGAATAAAAGCATCAGAGAAACAGCACCACATGGGCTGGAGGAATTTCCTCACCTGGGGCCTGAGAGTTATGCTGTGAAAAGTTCAGACAAGTCATCAGAAAAGAATTTGAGCTCTGTGTGGTCAAAACCTGCGCACCAGTGTGTCCCCAGTCCCAGAATGATCCCCCTGGCCTCTCCCATTGCTAGGAAGAGAGGAGAACCACTTCATGAATCTACCAGAAATTACAGGAAATCACGAATTTAATGGGGACACAATTTTTTTTTGTGATTATCAATTACCTTGTCTACAAGCTTTCATGCAATGACAAACTCCCGCATTTTTTACCTTATGGGGTTAACTTTGGCTGTCCCTGAATATACGCACCCAAACCGCAGGCCTGAAACAACTTACAAGTCAGGGCAAATTAGGAACGACCCCGCTGGATGGCACAGTGCCTTGACTGCTGCGAGGCAATTCAGACTCTGCTTGCCTCGCATGGCTTTGGGGTATTGATCGACCCCCACGCTGCCAGCGTACCAGCCGTGCTCTGGCACAGCAGGCACTGGGGCAGAAAGTTCAGTGGCTGTGTCAGCCCCGGGAGGAGATGTGCGCTCTGCAAATGGTTTTTAAATATGCCATTCAACATGGCTTCCCGAGACCATGGAGCATGGACGCTGCAGATGTTTTTCATGCTATCGTGTTCTCAGCGTGCCTTTTATTTCTCCTCCCAGTAAAACTGACCAGAAGAGAAACTACACCGAGACAAGGACTCAATTGCTCTGATTCAAGTCTTTCCCATTTGGAAGGGGCATTATTGGAACAATGGATGTAATAAAGTGATTCTTGTTTACATGACTTTTCCATTAGCAGATGAGGATTTGTGGGAGATGTAAGCTTCTCCAGACATTCAATTAGAGCTGTTTAATGAAACATTATAACCAAAGCATCAGGGTATAAGAGGGTGATTTACCACAGCTTATTGCTTAGTTAGAGGAGAACACTTTAACTAAGAGCAAGTAAGAAATCGAGTCTGCAGTCTCTCTCTGCATGTCACAGCACACGCAATCTTCTCTGACCAGAGAAGACCAGAGTCATTATTTCCCAGACCACAGTCATTATCTCCATGAGGTCCATGGCAGCCCCACTAAATCTGCTCAGAGAAGGAAAGGCTTCACTCAGCAGTCTCTAGTTACATGGCTAGGTCCTTCAAGGGCAGGAGTGTCTGTGCTGGTGAAGGCATCATTGCTATGTGTCACGTAGCATCTTTGGCTTGAGAAGTGGAACCGCTCTTACTAGAAAAATAACAAATGTTCAGCTAAAAACTGAAGTAATTTCTTCCCTCTCCAGCAGAACCACTTCTGCAGCAGGGAGGGACTATCCATTTACTCTGTTACCAAAACATTGCTTACCTCTGAAGGAGCAATTACTTCCTACAGCTGCCCTAAGACAGTCAAAGTGGTGTGAAACCAAAATTTTGTCATAAGACTTGAACAGCAACATGACACCCACCACTTGGGATCTCATTGAAGGAGTTTATTGTGCTTTGTTCTGTCCAGCCAAGCCTGTTTGGCTGCTGAGTAAAGACCAGCCCTTAGCATTTTTTGGGTCAGTGTGATACCAGGAAAATGCTCTCTCCTACAGCAATAGCAGTCATCTTACGGGCTGTGTCTGTGCTCATTGTAGGGAAAGATGTCTAAAGCAGGAGGAATTTGTAGTTCATATTGAGAAACCTATTGACAAGGCAGCATGCTGTGGAAGAGCCCAGTACAAATGGAAATGGAGGCAGAGTGGGTCAGGATGCTCTCCTAATGGTCCTAAGTATCAGGAAGCACAGATAGCTACCACATGGAAGCACCACTTGCTGCAAGTCAGTTATTGATCCTTCATATAGCTTCTTCTTGTTTAATTAAGTCTCTGGAGAGCATAACGGAGAAATATAACTTCAAAATGAAAAGTATCAATAGCTGCAGCTGAGGTTCTGAAGAGTCTTATGAATTCAGGGTGATGGAATAAACACCATGAGCTTCCCTTGCAGAAAAATTATATTCATACATAAAAAGCCACCTGGAAGTCAAATTAAGGCAACTGCTACTTCAAATGGACTTATAAAAGGGAGAAATTTTTACCTTTGGGAGAAATTTAGTTTTGCCTTTGGACATATCTTCATACATTACAAGTTCTGCTGGGAATACACTGGATACAGCATGGTTGGTCCTGCTCTCCCTGGAAGGACAAAGGTGTTCTGCCCTAGCACCAATACATGTTACAGACCCTCCAAGCAAAACTTCTGGGGCCCCTCTTTTAAGTAGCTTCCCACTACTTAAACAGTAACCCAATTCTAATAACGAACTTGCACTGCAACATCACTGCAACATCACCAGAAAAGTGTGCATTTCTATTCCAAAAGCCCTGGCTTTTCCACACCAGTAAGCCAGCAGCACTAATAGCTGCCATTAGCTAATAGCACTTGGAGCATCTTTATGGGCCAGCTGTGAGTTTGTGCACGACATCCATACGTGACATGAGGAAAGAGGTTCCCTGTATATGAAATTAAGAGGAAAAAAAAAAAAAAGTGAAGAAGAACACAAAATTTGAAGGAGAACACATACAGGAAATACAAGTGATTAGGTGACATCAACATGGCCAATGTAGTTCTCACTAATTTTGAAGGACTTGGTGACCCCACAGTTCTTACATTTGGCATTACAAAATTGGGAAACACTGCCACAGGAAAAAATGTTAAATGCACTTAAGATGCTCTCAGAGTAAATGTATGAATAGCTTGATTTGTCCTGATGGATGGATAGACATTGTCACAGTTC